TGTGTGTGTGTGGCAGAGAGAGAGAGAGAGAAGGCTACTTCTGTTCTTGAATGCACACATCTGACAGACAAGGTCAGATACACTCCCTCACTATGAAGGCTACTTCTAATCTGGAATGTATACAACCATCGGACAAGGTCAGGTACACTCGCTCACTCATGATGAAGGCCTTTTTTTCCTTTGTTCCAATTTCTCCACCAAGAAAAAAATAAAATAAAATACGAAGGGGTACTCTGGCAACCCCACCAACCCCCTGTGCCCTTACCCCCCCCCCGCCCCCTGCCCCACTATGCCATTGAAATGGGGTCGCACGGGTCCGTCCAAACTGGCCATACTCATGCCCATATGGACGGGCCGTCCGATGGCCTCCCGTACGACGCACGGCGGACTACACAGATACATAGAAGAGATTCGCATGGCCTCTGAACAAAAAGAACACCAACAACAACCGAAAAAAAAAAAAAATCAGTCATTAAGAACCAGACACTACGTCAGTTTTGCGACTACTAACAGTAGTAACAATCCATCGGCGGCTAATACCAACTGGCCTAGCTCCGTCCGTACAACCTTAGCTGTTGAAATACAGACCCGAGTTTGAACTCCACTGGAGGAAGCAGATCAGTGAAAAATACTACAGTAATTCCGAATTACCTAGGCCCAGTCAGTTCGATAATAATATATATTGAGGCTGTCGTCCTCTTGAAAAAAAACTTAAAAAAAATCAATCCATCCGCTAATCAATAAAACAATCATCGATCCTCCAGTACGTAAGGTAAATCCGACAGCCAAGTAGCGGCTAGGGCTCTCCTTGGATCAAAGAGAGCTTCTCCCCATGGCGTTTCGCCGTTCATTGCGTCCTTTCTTTCTCACTAAATTACAAAATACTACCTTCTTCCCCCGAATACAATGTAAGGTCATTATAGCTGTATTTGGGGTATCTTTCAGTCTAAATACAGCTATAATGACCGTATGTTGTATTCGGGGGAAGAAGGTAGCTAAATACAGATATAATGACCGTACGTTGTATTAGGGGGAAGAAGGTAGCAACCAATCTCAAAAGTGAGTCTGGTTAGCTAACTTAGGCAGGGGTGAGGGGTGGTACATGCCGTCCACGCGGGCCTATCAACAGTAATGGAAAAAATGAACCATGGTTAGCATAGGAGCGATTGACAATGTGTGTGTATGTGTGTGTGTGTGTGTGTGCGTGTGTGTGTGTGTGCGTGTGTGTGTGTGCGTGTGTGTGTGCGTGTGTGTGTGTGTGCGTGTGCATGTGCGTGTGCGTGTGCGTGTGCATGTGCGAGTGTATGCGTGTGTGTGTGTGTGTGTGTGTGTGGGTGATTGGGTGGGCGTGCGTTTTTAACTGTTGATAACCATAGCGATACCTTATCGGTTCAGAGTGATACCATCGATTTCTCGGTCATGTCATGCTGCTTGACGGTGATGCCATTGTGCCCTTGGGGCATGCTAGACCAATTGAAGGAAAGTTAATCAGAGAGAGACTGACCGGTACTTCACTGTAATGCCATTGTGCCCTTGGGGAACAGACGGACAGACAGACAGACACACGAACGGACAACCAACAGACAGGCACAGAGAGAGCGAGAGAGAGAGAGAGAGAGAGAGAGAGAGAGAGAGAGAGAGAGAGAGAGAAGTTCAGCAGTCGTGGTGTCTCTCCCTCCTTCCGCACACCTCAATTCCCAAATAGGGCCTGCCCCTTAATCCACCACTAGCGCTGGCGGACTCTTGGGATTATAGCTGTACAAGAAGCACTGGCGATAAAGTTCCGCGACAGGCTGGTCATCGGCGTGCACAGTGGACAAAAAGAGGCTGTAAAATTGTGTAAATGGATAAACTGCAACTCGCTTCATGAAATGTGAGGGGATTGGGCGACACGAATGGTCGGTCAAAAAGGAGGGTGGTGAAGAGCTGGATACATGACTGGAGGTGAACTGTATTCTACTCTACAAGAGACTAATCTTAATGAGGAGAGGTTGAAGGATCTGGGCCCCTGGAGGGATGGCCCTCAGATATGGGCCTCGACCCAAGGGACCCGGGGAAGCGTGGGGATACTTTTGCATCGGGCCCTGCAAACCCGTGTTGAAAGAATCTGAAGCAGACATGTGGGGCCGCTGGGCGTGGCTCAGACAAGAGGTGGTGAGCAGTGAAGAACGGGGGATCATGCTGGCTGTATGCCCCAACTGATTCAGGGGAAAGATGCACCTTTTTCAAGAATCTGATGCTGCACATTCCAAAATTGGACAAGCTACTCCTCTAGCAGGTGATTGGAACACATCCTTGGATGAGGCACATTCCAAAATTGGACAGCTGCAGCGGATCCGCTGCAGCTGGTAAGAAGAACATGCAGACCCTTCTGGATCTCACAACAGAGTTGTCCCTCTCACACCCATTCCGCATTCTCAATCCTGATGACCCCGGGCGGGTACACGTGGACATCCCACATGTATGTACTGGGGCACACGCAGGCGTCGGGCGGTTAGTTACCAAACAGCGTTCAGAGTCTTTTCAGACTATTTCCTGGTCAGTGATCAGCTGCTGGATGGGGTTATTGCAGTCGGACACATCCGCAACACCCTATCTGACCACAAGCTGGTGGTTGCAGACATCAGAATGCCGACCGGCCAGGAGAGGGGTAGGGGGTTCTTTAGGCTGAACAGTCAGATTATGAAGGACTCAGGAGTAAACGAGAGGATTGAAGATCACATGGCAAGGTGGGAGAATGCTAAACCTTATTTTGCGTCCGCTGCAGAGTGGTTGGATGGCGGATGGGGGGGTTAGCTATTGCATTCGGCTTTATGGATGTATAGTATACTCCAGAATATCTTCTCACGAAAACGAAAGAAACATCAGAGAGGCAGAGTGCAAAAGGCGGGTGGAGGCGGCGGGAGAACGTATGGAAGGGCATCGGATATCTGCCACGGTCTGGGAAGCAGAACGGGAGAGGAGACTACCGTCTTCACCCGAATACAACGTGCAGTAAGTATAGCTGCTGTGTTTGGGACAACTTTGAGTCAAGAGACAGCAATAATCACCGTACGCTGTACTCAGGTAAAGACGGAAGCGGACTGGGGCAGTCTCCAGGTAGAGAAACAGAAAGATGGATGGAGGTTGTGAAAGAGAGAAGGGGATCGAACACCCGACAAGATGACTAAGGAGACATTTGAAAAGCTGCAGCCGTGAAGAACACAGCAACAAATAACTGAACGGCGGCATCCCTTTCACGACTCAGCCACGTTGGCATGCTCCGCTGCAGGCAGGCATGCTACTACACTATGCGAAACTCTACTCCGAGGATATCTCCTAACAACCAGGGACCCGCATGAGGACATCAGTACAGACCTATCGGAACAATCGCACCTGTGGGAAGAAGAAGACACAAGGGTGAGGCTGTCCAACGCAGCGAGACTCGACCTACACAGACCCCTTTCGTTGGAGGAAGCGACTCCGACTAATAAGTCCATGGTGAGGGGTAAGTCTCTGGGAGTGGATGGTCTGACTGTTTAGTTCTACCTTAAGAACCGGGCGATGTTGGGGCCCGGATCTAGTAGAGCTTGAGAACAAAGTCCTACTCGGTGGGAAACTGGGCAGAGGCATGACTCACGGGGTCATTGCAGTGCTCTTCAAGAAAGGAGACAAGGCTGACGTCAAGAAACTGGCGACCAATCTCATTGCTGAACATTTTGTGCAAAATTTTAGCTAAATCCTTGGCTAGAAGAGTGGCGAAGTTTCTTCCGGATTGGGTAGAGGGAGATTGGGGGCAGGGGGCTTTAGTCCAAGGACGGTCAATCTTCAACAGCATTGCGACCCCCATTGAGTGACTAAGGAGGTGGTTAAAGTGGAAAATTTGGGCATGGCAGTGCTGTTACTCGACTGGAGAAGACCTATGACAAGGTGGGCCGGACTTTCGTCCCGACCACTTGACAAGAATGGATTGGTTTTGGGGCCAGCTTCTACAGATGGGTACGAGTCATGTACACGTTCTCCACATCAGCTGTAATGATCAATGGCCACCTCTCATCTGCTTTTACCCTGTCACGGTAGTTGAGGCAAACGCTGCCCCCTAGTCCCTCTGCTGTTTGTTCTGCAGATGGGAAGTCTCGTTGAACCAATTGAGACGCTGCTCGGCGCTCAAGGGGCTGCAACTTCACTCAGGATCCAAGTGTAAGGCCAAAGCCCCCACGGACGACTTGTTCGCAATCAGCGAAAACACAAGTGAGCCGCTGGAGGCATTGAAGGTGGCTATGGTGGAATAGTCTCTACTATCGGAAGCATAAGTAAACTGGAACAAATCCGTGTTTTTTTCTGCCTCAGCAATAAGATTTGCCAGTCGAATGGGGGCTGAAAAGAGTGGAAGAGGGAGAGGAGGAAAGGTTTATAGGTGTTCTACTTAGTCTGCAAATAGTCTCTAGGTCAGGTTTTTAGGCCTGTGAATTAGATAGGCTAGCTAGGGGTAGGTAGGTTAGGCTCGGTAACGTTTTCTTCAGGCCGCGGGAGGCCACAGTGTGGGTTGCTGGG